GATATATTTATTCCTGTGGTTTTATTCTGGTTTTAAGTGAGGACTGAAGTGAATGACTGAGTCCCTGCGAGAGTTGGGCAGGCGGTCCGCCGAACCCTTTGGTTCGCCTTAGGGGGAGGTGGGGTCGTCACAGATCAGACCTCGAATCCGTTTTCAAAAGCTACACATCCGAGCCCTCGTCTGAGAATTTGGAGAAGTTGATTCGAGAGCAAGGCATCCGAGCTCGGATCCAAGTAGAATAGGCCTTGCATCGTCTTGCAAAATAAATGGAGGAAAATGGGAAGCCCTCTGTGTGAAGCTCTCTGATCCAAGGCTTAGATCTTTCTCTTTCCTCTGCAATTTGCAAAACAACTTGTGTACATTTCATACTTACTTTTTGACTCTTGTTTCACAACAAATTCTGGCTGGAAGCTGGCAAAGTATCTTGTACACTTGAAGAAGGAATGTTGGAGATTCCAATGAAGGGCATTTTTGGAACAAGAAGTAAAGAAACAAGTAGAAAACATATTATTGAAGAGAGAGAAAGGAGGATGAGAAGATAGGTAGGACAAGATATAAAACTCTCTCTTTCTTTTCTCTCTAGCTTAACTTAGTGGTAGTTTGACAGGTGTCGAACCTGTGCAATAATAATAATAATAAAACCTAACTACTACCAAAAGTAGTCAATAATCAATTCTAGGTACTGGAGCAAGGACTCTAGGTGTGCAATGGGTTACTTGATTCACCCTGTTCCTGAAAAGTTTGCTTAATCTGATATACCAGAATTAATTATCTGACTAAATTCACTAACTAGTAAACAGTGGCAAGCAGGGTTGTCTCCTCAGGGACTGGGGAGAAATTTGTTTCCTTTCGAATCAAGATAAATGGGGGGTTTTAAGATTAAATGCTAATGAACTAAATAAATCAACTGTGAAAAATAATAAATTGACAGAAATAAATAGGGAAACTCTAGCCAAGAATATACTTCAGAAATGGTTTATGCAACTGATCAACGATTCACAAATAATTCCAACATTTATTAATAGATTGGTTATAGTTGTCATACACGCGATAAACAACCAGCCTTTCCTTACTTATTCGATAGTCAAGGTACGACCGTTAACTATTTCTCTAACCCAGAAACAATTCTAGGTACGACCATAGGATTTAATTTCTGCTTTCATTAAGATTTAGAAAGGTCCAATCTTAACTAACAAACACGTTATGAGGGTTTGTTTAAATTAGATCGTATGTTTTCCTGACATAAACCCAATTATGCCAGTTGCTACCGGGACAAAGATAATTGACAATTACGGATTTAACTACTTCCAATTAGCAAATAGCCTACATGAATAATTAAATATTGCGCATCTATTCAATTATACACAATAGCTATAACAACAATTAAAAGCAGAAAACATACGAATACCAATAAATGGAGGAAACAGTTAAAATAATTTAGATCTCACAGTAATTGTTGAACCGAATCTTCAGTTGTCCCTTTGACTAGAAAACGGAGATTTAGCTACGCATCCTAGAAGAAATTTCACCAGACTCCATGGAATCTGGTTGCAAATTGGTTTTTCTCTAAAACTAATTAAAACAAGCCGAATTAGCCCAAATAAGTGACGGCTCTCTTTTTGCTTCCCTTGCGGCTGAAACTAATCAAATCTTCTCATGAGATTGTTGTTGGCCAAACTCTTGATTACGCAGGAATCCGACTTTTCCTTATTCTTTTTGTTTCCTAATGGAAGTCTACTACCAAATAAAACTAGTCTCCTAAATAGAAAAATAAACCACAAAACAAAGTATTTCAAGTTTCCTAATTCAACCATAAGACTAATAATTAGAATTCAAGTCTTCCAAATCTTCCTCTAAAGCTGCCCAAAGTTTGAATCAAACTTGGAAATCGGTTTCGAACGTGTCACCATCAAATTAATTGGAAGATTGCTCCTTTTTGTCACGTTTTGCTCTTTTTCCTACAATTTAGCACCATTAACCAAATATAAGTAGAATCCATCAATTAACGCAATATTTGGCTAAAATCAAGGGAAGAATAATTATAAATTCAGCAACAAATTATGACCTATCATAGTTTTAGTTTAGTTTTCATTTCTATTGAAGAACTTGAAGAACTCTTGATGTATTACAGGATTTTTTATGGAAATGAAGGTGATGGAGCTTGAAGATCATGTTTTTTCATTTGAAAGAGCATTTCTTCCTCTTTACCTTCTTTATTTGTCTCATTAATGCTTTGTTACATTATAGATATGAGTCTTATTGTTAAATCTACCATGTCTAGCTAATTCTTCTTGTTCTAGGGATAGATGAAGCTATTTGTGCCTTGACTATGGTTGAATAAAGTTGATTATTGTTAGATCTTGTACTTGTTAGTTCATTTGTTCATGCTTTAACACTTGGGAATGCTTGTGATAAGAGTATATTTTACGTGTTTTTAGTATGTTTTATTGGTTAGTTTTGGTGTGTTTTATTTAGTTTTAGAGCTAATTAACTAGGATTTCAGTGAAAATGTACATTTTGTGGTTTAAGTAATAAAAATTACATTTTTATGGATTTTAATGGTGAAAACTTCATGTTTTTGTAAGTTTAATGATTCAATTATCAAATGGCGTGAATTGAGAAGAGAATTGGATGATTATTGATGATTTGAAGTGGTTTAAAGAAGAAATTAAATGCAAAACATTCAAAGGAAGAAATGCAAGTGAATACAGTTTTGACACATTATAATATTTCAGCAATATTTTGAGTTAAAGCATCATATTGAGGTGATTCTTATACCATTCTAAAGCTAAGAGATACATCTACATTTGGTATAAAGACATCGAAATCAAGTTTAGTCATTTTCCTTGTCAAAAAGTCAAAATACAAAAATGCATGTGAATGGTCGAAAACCGAAACAGAGCTCTGACCAGTTGCGGGTATTTTGGTCATTGGAGCTCCAAATTGGATGATTCTTGAAGCATTAGAAAGTTAAATCAAACGGCTACAACTTTCATGTTTTGTACAAGAGTTAGTTCAGCCTCCATCATTAAGAAAATAGTAGATAAATTGATATCAAATTCACAGAAGTGAATACGCGACCCTTGATTAAGTCAGCTGAAGTCGCGTATTCCAAGGTGGCGTATTCTCACCTCATTTCTACAACTTTCTCAGTCACTTGCTCTGTTTTCACACTACTTTCCAGTTCTACTCCTGACATGAATTTCACCCGCACATGTTCAAGGGACCTTTTGGAACAAAAAAGGAGATTTATGTCTTGTCTAAAAATCACTTTTTAACTCTCTTAACACGAGGGATGTAAGAATAAATAAAAAGGGAGAATAGGACATTTTTAGAAGTCATTATAATTAGATTTTAGCATTAGAACATAGTGGTTAGTCTTGTTTTGTTCTCTCTAATTAGAACTTTTGTGAGAACAAGTGGAGACTTCATTGTACAACTCATTTGTTTAAAAAATAGAAGATCATTGGGAACTTCTTCACTAATCTTGGCTTAGCTTTCTTTATCTATCTTTTACTTGTGATTCAATGTGTGTTCATGCAATGAAGCAATGTTCTTTCTTGTCATACATTATATGAGAAGCTTAGTTTCTAAATCTAGGGAGTAGATGAAACTTATGACTACTTGATATGAACAGAATATGATTTACACTTGTTACATCTTATATTAACTTGTCTATTTATGCACGCTTATAACTTGTTGTTGCTTGATCACCAAAGCAAGTTTTTAGTTGTTATTATTCAATAAAAGTTGGTAATAATGATGGAGCAACATAAATAGAACTTGAGTAGTATTCTCATGAGAATAGAGATACACTTAAGTGGATTAAACTTGCATTTTCATGAAGGAAACAAGAGTAGATCTAGTTATTAATCATTAGAATAAGGAAAACTAATCTATTTTAGACCATTTTATCATGAGAATGAGATTTGGTAATATTGAAAATGAATTCCTAATTAAACAAGAGTTGTAACAAGAGGTAAATCTATTTATTTGTATCTTTGATGCCATAAATTGAATCTATATCCCTAGACTCAAGTATTTAGTGAATTTTCACCATTGTTACCTTGTAAATATCTAGTTAAGATTAGTTAGATAGTAGTAATTACAACTTCTCTTGCTTAAGTTGATTATTAGTCTAAATAATAGAGTAAGTAAGGACCTAGTACTTGCAAAGTTGCTCACTATGAGATCGACCCAATATATACCCTAAACTACTATTTTGACATGTATGCTTGCAGTAAAACGGGTGTAATTCGGAATTAAACTTGTACTTATATAAAAAATCCGTCAAATTTCTGGCGTCGTTGCCGAGGAGCGGCAATATTAGGGCCTAACAAGGTTTATTAATTTAGACATTCTCTATATTAGTTAGTTAAACGTTGCTTCTAGTTAAGTTAGAATTTTTATTAGTTTTTGTAAATTAATTACTACATAATCTCTTTTATTTTTGTTTGTAGTGTATGAACGGGATTTTACAGATAGTCGCACCTTTTGATCCGAAAATTGAAAAGACATTATGTATACAAAGAAGGCGTACACCACAACAATAAGAAGAAGAGGTTTGACAACAAATAGAGGGAATCGCGATAGAGCGACCTTTTAAAGTAGAAATCACTAAAAACGAAGCAAATAAGCGAGTTCTTAGGGATTTTGCTCTATCGAGAACCCAAGGATCTCAAACAAGTATAGCATGATCGATGATAAATGCAAATAATTTTGAAATTGAACCATCATTAATCCAAATGGTGCAACAATTTCAATTTGGAGGTAATGCCGTAGAGGATCCAAATGCACACTTAGCCACATTTTTTGAGATATGTGATACAATCAAAATGAATGTAGTTAGTGAGGATACTATAAAGCTAAGGTTGTTCCCATTTTCATTGAGGGACAAGGCTAAAATTTGGTTGTATTCTCATACCCCTAATACTTTCACTGCTTGGGATGATTTGTCTAGATCATTTTTGAATAAGTATTTTCCACCAAGCAAAACGACTAAACTTAGAATGGATATTACTAGTTTTAGTCAATTGGATGATGAATCATTATCTAAAACATGGGACAAGTTTAGAGATTTGTTTCGAAAATGTCCACACCATGGGCTTCTCAATTGGCTAATTGTACAAAACTTCTATAATGGTTTATCCTTTTCTAATAAAATAACTATTCATGCAGTCACAGGTGGAGTTTTGATGGCAAAATCACCCCAAGAACCTCAAGATTTGATAAAGAAAATGGTGGCAAACAATTATCAATGGGTTAATGAAAGAGGTAATCCAAGGTGCCAAACAGGTATGATTGAAATTGATACCATTAATATGCTTTGTACTGAAATGAGCAATATGATGAAGATGTTGAATAGATAAGTCGGATATGGTACAAGTTCATCTGATGTACATGTGGTTTGTTGTTCCATGTTCTAAGGTGATTATGATACTAACGAGTGTATTAATCTTGAGTAGACTCAATTTGTTAATAATTACAATAGAAATGCTCAAAACAACCCATACTCGAATACATACAATTCGGGGTAGAGAAATCATCCAAATATTGGATGGAAAGATCAAGACAATCCACAAAGGCCAGTTAATCCGTTGGGATTCCAACCAAGACAATCACAGACGAATATTAAATCGAATTTGGAGATTGCGGTGGAAAAATTGGCAAAGGGTACCTCGGAGAGGTTCGAGCAACTACAGGGGCGATTGGACCAATTGACCGATATGTATAGAAATATGAAGGTTCAAATTGATCAATTTGCCAATTCAATCAACAATAGAAATCATGGAGAATTGCCTAGTAAAATCAAAATCAACTCGAGAGGGCATGTCAAAGCTATCACGCTTAGAAGTGGTAAAATGGTTAAGAGACCTAACTCTGGTAATTCAAGTAGTGATAAAGATAAGGAGCAAGAAATTGAAGGAGTGAAAGAAAGCCAAAATGATCATGTTGTCATTGATATAGATGTATCTCCTCCCAATTTAAATTCTAATGTGATTCCTTTTCCTCACAAGTTAGAGAAAGATGGGAAGGATCGGGAGTTTGAGAAGTTCCTCAAGATTTTTAAACAATTGCACATTAACATTCTTTTCATTGATGCTATCACATAGACTCCCTCTCATGCGCATTTCTTGAAGTATATCATGTCAAAGAAGAGGAAATTATATATAATGAGATGACAGCATTAACTGAAGAGTGTAGTGCATTGATTAAGAACAAACTCCCTCCTAAATTGAAAGATTCGGGAAGCTTTTCTATTCCTTGTACTATTGGTCAGTTGCATTTATCTAACGTTTTATGTGATTTAGGTGCAAGTGTGTCACTTATGCCTCTATCGGTTATTCGGAGGTTGGGATTTCAAGAGTTAAAAGCTACCAATATCACTTAGCAATTGGCAGATCGGTCAATTATACATCCAATTGGTATTTTAGAAAATGTGCTTATAAGGGTAAGACAATTTATTATACCTGTAGATTTTGTTATTTTAGATATTGAGAAAGATATGAAAATGTCAATTATTCTAAGAAGATCATTTTTAGCCACCGCACGAACTATAATTGATGTGAAAAAAGGTAAACTTGTATTACGGATTAATGATGAGGAATTAAAATTTAATTTGATTAATAAAGATGGGGGTATAGAACCTATTGCTCTTGCTTCTAATATGCCATGTGACGAAAGGGTTAACTAGGAAATGAATGAAGAAGTCAAATCTATAAATATTCTTGGTACTAATTTTTATGGTATAAGATCAAGGGAGGCGAGGACAAGGATAGAAGTTGGCTTAATAAATTTTCCATTCCATGAAGGAATAGGTGAAAAGTTTAGTCGAGTTGAAAAAGGCAAACAAATTCTACTCCAAGGTGAAGGCAAGTCTTTACATGACAAGTCTAATACTCCTCCTTGGCATTTGAGGAAGTTGGACTTTAAAGATCAATGCATGGTTCATCACACGGTGGAATGGCTTGGGAGTTTTGACCTGTGGCGAGAAAATCACTCCCTAATGTTCTAAAACAAGCCAAACCTTTTGAATCGAGCCAATGACTACAAACAAAAGCGCTAGTTGGGAGGCAACCCAATGTTTTTGTTAAACATATTAATTTGGTGTGATTTCGCGTTTAACACATGTATTTAAGTTATTTTGCTGTTTTTCTATTGTCAGTTTTAAAATGGAAGTGAGGATGGCCATTCGAGGTAGAAAGAGGTGAAATTTGATCAAGGAACTCAACCATTTGATTTGTGTTAAAGGTGTTTCGATCCGTTAAAAAGGGGCAAAATACATGTTTTGATCATTTTATATATGCATGAGATGATAATTTTGCCAAAAGAATGATCTAGATTGTATTTTGAGTAAAAACGGGTGCAATTCAAAATTAAACTTGTACTTATATATCAAAAAATTACACCCGTTTTACTGCAAGCACACAGGTCAAGCTAGTAGTTTAGAGTATATATCGGGTCGATCCCACAGAGAGCAACTTTGCAAGTACTGGGTTCTTACTTACTCTATTATTTAGACTAATAATCAACCTAAACAAGAGAAGTTGTAATTACTACTATCTAACTAGTCTTAACTAGATATTTACAAGGTAACAATGGTGAAAATTCACTAAATACTTGAGTCTAGGGATATAGATTCAATTTATGGCATCAAAGATACAAATAAATAGATTTACCTCTTCTTACAACTCTTGTTTAATTAGGAATTCATTTTCAATTTTACCAAATCTCATTCTCATGATGAAATGGCCTAAAATAGATTAGTTTTCCCTATTCTCATGATTAATAACTAGATCTACTCTTGTTTCCTTCATGAAATACAAGTTTAATCCTCTTAAATGTATCTCAATTCTCATGAGAATACTACTCAAGTTCTATTTATGTTGTTCCATCATTATTACCAACTTTCATTGAATAATAACAACTAAAAGTTTGCTATTGGTGATCAAGCAACAACAAATTATAAGCATGCATAAATAGACAAGTTAATACAAGGTGTAACAAGTGTAAATCATATTCTGTTCATATCAAGTAGCCATAAGTTTCATCTACTCCTTAAATCTAAAATTTAGCTAGTCATATAATAGATGACAAGAAAGAACATTGCTTCATTGCATGAACACACATTGAATCACAAGTGAAAAATAGATAAAGAAAGCTAAGCCAAGATTAGTGAAGAAGCTCCCAATGATCTTCTATTTCTTCAACAAATGAGTTGTACAATGAAGTCTCCAATTGTTCTCACAAAAGTTCTAACTAGAGAGAACAGAACAAGACTGACCACTAAATTCTAATGCAAAAATGATACGAACGGCACCAACCTTGTGATGTAACCCGTACAAAAAGGCTTGGATCTAGAAGGTAGAGACTCACGTTGAAGATGACGAACGCAGTGGATCACCTAAACCTGTTGATCACGTGGTCAACGAACCTCGGTATTTGTAGAAGATGCCACAATCTAGCGCGGTCCTAGATTAATAAGTCAATTGAATACCTAAGATACAAATCTAAGATATTCAAGGTGGTTCAATGAAGCTTTGAGAGAACTCTCAATGTAATGTTATTAATCGTAAAAAACTAAATGTGGCTCAGCGTAGGGACTAACTACGTGGCTCACTAAAGTGCTATTGGTCCTAAGGCCCACATGGCCTAGCCTCTTGACCCAAGAACTAATAACGACTAAGGTCCAAACCACAAGATAGTTGGACCTCTTTATTACACTCTACTAAACTAATAATGGCCATGGCCCAGGCGAATCACGGGCAGCTAATCCTCATGGATGGCCGATAGTTGGACCACATCTCTAGCTTCGTTGAGGCCCTCAATGGCCATTGGCTCTCCACTTGACTCACGGGCCGCACGAACCAATGTTTGTAGTGTCTCATTCAACCTCTTCGCGCGAGCTCGTGTCATAGGCCCCAATGGCACCTTCACTTGCTCCACTTGGATAGCTCTCTCGACCTCCTCATCAAAAAATCTGATCATAACTATTCTCCCTTTTTAATGATTCTTACATCCCTTGTGTTAAGAGAGTCAAAAAGTGGTTTTTGGACAAGATATAAAACTCCTTTTTTCTCCCAAAAAGTCCCTTGAACATGTGCAACCGAAATTCTTGTCAGGAGTAGAGTTGGAAAGTAGTATGAAAATAGAGCAAGTGGCTAAGTAAGTTGCAGAAATCAGGTGAGAATATGCGACCTTGGAATACGCGACTTCAGCTCGCGTATTCAAGGGTCGCATATTCACTTCTATGAATTGACATCATTTCATCTGCTATTTTCTTAATGATAGAGGCCGAACTATCTCTTGTGAAAAACATGAAAGTTGTAACCCTTTGAGTTAGCTTTCCAATGTTTCAAGAATCATCCAATTTGGAACTTTGTGGAATGAGAAATGACCAAAATACCCTCAATATAGATCTTTCTCTTAACTTCAAAATTTTATAAGAATCACCTCAATCCGATACTTGTAAGTCAAGATATAGCCGAAATACTATAAGGTGTCAAAACTATCTTCACTTGGATTTCTTCTTTTGAATGTTTTGCATTTCATGTCTTCTTTAAACCACTTCAAATCATCCAATTTTCTTCTCAATTCATGCCATTTGATGATTGAATCATTAAACCTACAAAAACATGAAGTTTTCCCCATTAAAATCCATAAAAATGCAATTTTTACCACATAAACTACAAAATGTATATTTTCACTAAAATTCTAGTTAATTAGCTCTAAAACTAAATAAAACACATCAAAACTAACTTATAAAACATATTAAAAAACACGTAAAATATACTCTTATCAAACTCTCCCACACTTGAACCATTGCTTGTCCTCCAGCAATAAGAAATACCAACCAACAATGATCCCTAAATTTTTAAAATAAACATATGTGTACCATTCAACTTCATTTCCTCAAAACAAGGTAAATAACCATTATGCAATCACTCAATTAAGTTCAAGTACTCATAATATCAAGTAATGGAGAACCAATTATACCATAATTTTAACTAGTTCAACTGAATTTCTCATCCTTACCCAAAATTTCACAAGCAAGTAACTCATATGGTCAATAAAAATGTTGCCTAATCCCATAATCATCTTCTTATT